CGGGATCCCTTTCCCGTCCTCCCCCCCCCCCCCCGCCGACGGCGGCGGTGCTGAGGCATGGTATCCCATGCCATTCCGATTGGCACAAAACAGCATTTTTGGACATGTTCGACCCACCTGGAATAGCATAAAGTAGTTTGTGGCCGCGTTGCGGCGGAAGCGCTCGGGCAGGAAGCCGCTGGGGCCGCGGTAGTAGGATTTGCCCAGTACCAGGCCTGGAGAGGGGAGGTGGCGGGGGTTTGAGAGAGTTGAGGGGCCTGGTTTGTGAGACGTCCAGCTGCTGGCCAAGGCGAAGTGGGGGCTGATGATCTTGCCGAGGCAGGGGCGGCGGGATTTTCAAGCAAGGCAGTCGCGCACGCATGGACTGCGCGACGGCAAAAGCACGTAAAGCCGCCGCCAGAGGCGCCCCACCCCGCGTGGCCGCCCAGCCGCTTTGCTCTGCCGCGCACGCGCGCCGCACCTGGCCCGGCCCTGCGCATCTCATCCGTCACGCCGTCGCCGACCGCCTGGAACATGTTGTACTGCATGCGCCACCCGCCGCCAAACTGCATGCGGGACGACATGCCGTCGTCGAACCACTGCCACGCGGGCTTCCGGTCGTGCAGCCCCTGCTCCACGAACTTGCCGGTGCCGCCGAATATGAAGTCCCCGGAGCCCTTGAACGTCGCCACGCGCTCGGACTGGTTCTTGCCGGATGGTGCATGGTAGTCACGCTGGGGGGTTTATGATGGGTGGTATGTTGGGGTGGGGGTTGGGGCGACTTTCAGGGGGGGTTGTGGGAGGGGTTGAGAGAGGGGCTCGAACTTATAACTGATCATCACCAGCAGGCAAGCCGAGACATGGAAATTGAATGCAGGGGCGGGGTGCAACTGTGCAGGCCGGCTCCGCCCAGCAGCGGCTGCGGCTGCGGAGCAGGGCTGCGCCTGGCGGCGCACCTGGAGCGTGCTGCCAAAGCGCAGGGGAGTGCCGTCTGCCTTGCGCTCCTCGCTGAAGCACTTGCTGCGCATTGTGCAGACAGGACGACGAGGGCGAAAGCACGGTGTGTGACTATGTATGTGCATTTGGCAGCAGTGTCTTGATGACCCAGGCGCATTTCCCAGCCACAGTCAACTCAGTCAACTCCACAACCCGACGATTCGCGGGCAGATACAGCGAGCAGCGGCTCGGTCAGTTGAGAAGCAACCAGCACCGAGCCCCGCCGCAAAGTCTCTCGCTGCCCGCTGCCCCGGCCCCGCAACCCCTGCCCACTCACCCGCTCCAGCCAAAGGTCTCGCCGAACTTTTCCTGCAGATCGGTAAACCAGCCGCTGGACACGATGCAGCCGAAGACGCAGCCGCTCAGGGGGAACGGCTCGCCAGCCGCGGGGAGGCTCTTCTCGTACAGGTCCTTAAAGTAACTGCCAGCGGGAGGATGTTCGGTGAGGTGATTATGTTGAGGCGGCGCGGTCATTGTGTAAACAGGCACGTCGCAGCGAGAGGCGCCGAGGCATTGCTTGCAGCAGTTGGGTCGGTGCCGACTATCGCCACTGCCGCGTACAGGGGCTGGCGCCCCAGGGAGTTGCACTGCAGCAGACCCAATATCCGCAAGCAGGGCCGGGGCTCCGAGCCCGCTCAGAGCGCCACGGCACGTGCGGGTGCCAGCTCACGCGTCGGGCTTCTGGCGCATCTTCTTGCAGAAATCCATGACTGATATGGAGCCAACGGGGACTTTGAAGGGCGAGCAGGTGCCTGGGCGTGTGGCAAGGGGGTGTAGAGGGAGGGGTTAAACCTTGAGCCCTAGCAGCAGGTGCAGCAGCAGGTGCAGCCGCGGCAGCAGGTGCAGCAGCAGGTGCAGCCGCGGCAGCAGGTGCAGCAGCAGGTGCAGCAGCAGGTGCAGCAGCAGGTGCAGCAGCAGGTGCAGCAGCAGGTGCAGCAGCAGGTGCAGCCGCGGCAGCAGTAGCAGCAGCAGCAGTCGCAGCAGCAGGAGCAGCAGCAGCACTACCAGCAGCAGCAGCGGCGGCGCCAGCAGGCTCACCAGACGCCTTGTTGCTCAGGTCCTTTGGCCGCGGCCACACGGGGTCGCCGCGCTTGAAATTCCCCTCATTGGAATCCGCAACCTCGGCCAGGTCGAGGCTCGTGATGTTGATGGCCGCCGCACCCGCGACCAGCGCCTGGGAGACCCTCTCGGTGAAGTTCGCGGCGACGAGCGACTTTACCGGCACGCCGAGCGCCTTGGCGGCCGCGCCAAGGTCGGAGGCCGCGGCGGCGTGGTGGATTGTCAGGTTGGCGAGTGCGGCGCCGGCCTTGGTGCTCAGGCTGATTAGGGCATCCACGACGGGCGCGGCGGCATCGAATGCGGCGCCGTACAGGGCGTGCTGGGCGTCGTAGTAAGCCTTAGTCGGGCCATCGCTTATCGACGTCACCAGGTCCTGTTTCGGCTGCACGGCCGCCTTGACGGGGTCGACGATCGTGGATATCGCGCGGAGGGTCGGCGCGAGCGCCTTGTAGACGCGGGCCGAGGCGTTCTGCGCCAGCGCGATTCCAGGGTTCAGCAGCGCGGCGGCGCCGTCGTATGCGTGGAGGAACGCCTGCACCTCCGCCGCCTGCGCCTGCGACGACAGCCGGCTAGACTGCGCAGTGAGCTTTGCCACCGCCGCCGGCGACGCGCCGACGTGCTGCGTGGCGGCGCCGGCAACAAAGCCGAGGGCGGCGGCCTTCGCGTCGAGGCCTCCCTTCAAGGAGGCCTGCGCGGCGCCGGCGGCCTTGCCTGTGAGGTTGGACAGCAGTGCGAGCCCGGGCGCTGCCAGCGCGGCCGCTGCGGCCTTGGCCTGGGCGGTTGTGTCCTGGCCGGCAGCGACGAGGGGCGCAGCGGCGCCGACGAGTTTGAGGCTGTGCTGCCGGAGGGCAGCGACGCCAGGGGCGACGGCCGAGGCGACGTGCTTTGCGCCGGCCGCGGTGGCGTTGTCGAAGCTGGCAAGCTTCGGCCCGAGGGCCCGGAAAAGCTGGGCGTGCGCGTTGTTGGCGGCGGCCGCGGCGTTTTCGATGCCGGCGAGCGCGTGCGCGTGGGCTGCGGCAGCAGTGGAGTTGGCGTGCGCGACGGCGGCCTGCTGCGCGGCGGCGGGCAGCCCGGCGGATGCAGCAAGTGCCTGCTCGGTGAGCCTGTCTGCTCCAGCGTGCAGGCCGCCGACGGTGGCTCGCGCAGAAGCTGCTAGGCAGCTGGCCACCACACCCGCAAGCACAAGCTGGGCGAGCCGCATCTGGAGTCGGAAAGAGGTGGAGAGAGAGAGAGAGAGATGATGATGACGTGTGTGGTTGGGGGGCGGAGTGGAGCATGTGCGTGTGAGTGCGTGTTTGTGCGCAGGGGCCGAGAGGGGGTGAATATGGACGTCTCAGAGCACGGCCTGGCCCTATTTGGAGGCAAATGTCAGTAGCAGCAAGACCCTGGATGGGGTCAGGATGCATGCAGGGACCAGAGCCGTGTGGGAAGCTCTGCGCGCGGTGCACCCGCCTTGGCTGCTGACCCGCCCTGTGGTTCAAGTGCGGGTTCAGACGTCCGCATCAGGCGATGCAGCGCTGGTGTATAACCGCTTGTCTATGGTGCCTCACTTGTGCGCACGCTCTTGACCCTGGCTGGGGCCTGACGGGCCGCGAAAAACTCCTCCTCCCTCGATTCACCGTGTGAGAGTGATCCACTCACGGCAGAAGTCTATCGAATCCCGTTGCAAACTCAAAACCGACCAAGCATGGACTGCTGCGGGCGATTGTTCCGGGACCCGAATCCGGAGTTCGCGGCTCACTCGGCTTTGCGGTTGCGATGGAGCCCGACAAGCGAATTCCTGCATCTCAAACGTTTCAAATGCTGTGTTAAGGAGTTGAGTGCTGTGTGATAGGCCAAGGCCCTGGTTACCGAGTCACTGACCGGTTGGACCCGCCGGTCGACTAACTCGAGCATCGCATCCCACACCGAAAGCCTTACACGCTCTATACTCAGCCTCAGATACCGTTATAAACGCCACTCCCAACGTGTGCTTAATCCCCCTCTGTTAGCAGTGCAATGCGTCCCTCCACTCATCCCCCTTGCCAGTGTACCAGCAGCTTCAAGCGTGAATGGCGAATGGCAACAGCATGCGTGTCATATAACCTTCCCCGCCCTGCTGATGATATGCTTCCACCTAGTCACCTACTGTGTGGATGCTTCCCTGCATCCGTAATACCCTATTAGCCCCTCACGTCCTGCCGACAGGAGCTGGGGTGACGCCGGGTGCAACATGCGCGTGTTCGGGGCTGCTGTTGGACACCAGCATCCCTTCCCATGCCAGGCCAAGTTTGGTATCCCGCGCAATACCTCCCAAAATGCCTGATCTGCGCAGTGCGCAAACTGCAACGCTGAGCGGCACGTTCAGCGGCACAGCAGCCTGGGCTTGGGCGCAAAGTCCCAAGCCCCACCCCCCTCCAGCCCGTCCGCGCGGCCAGCTTTTACAGCGCCGCACCACAGAATGCACCGCGAACAGGAAAAAAAATTCGGCTGCCTGTGAAAGGGTGCATGGACTGGAATGTATACAGCAAACAGAAATCTGTACGTGGATCCGCGCAGACGGTCAAAAAGGGATGGCACACTGTCCATGCCAACAACAACAGGTGACACAAAACAGAGTCGCACACTTGCAAAAAGCTGTCACTGGGCTGGGGCAAGGAGGCTCAGCCGTACCCATAAAAAACCCGGTCGTGCACGATTCGAGCGGCGGGAGCAAAATGCAGCGGAATGGACGCGGCGCCAAACCCGCAAAACACGCAAGCGCCGCCGGCGCCGCCGCGGGAGACACTCTGGGCAACACAGCCAGTTCCCAGCCCACCAGCCTCGGCCGAACGCCCTGCAATTGAAACCACCGCATCACAGGTGGAACCGCCGCCTGCTCGTGTCCATTTCCTTGCGGTTGTGCACCCATTCGAATTCCCCGCCCCGCGAGTCGAACGTGCCCTTCTGCAGGCTCTGCAGCTTCAGGGTGAAACGGGGCCCCAGCTCCTGCAGCCGCGCCTGCACTACCTTCTGCTTGCCGCCCTCTTTGGGCGCCGACGTGGCGACGGCGGTTGCTGCTGCGGCGGCGGGGACGCGCTTCTCCTTCTCCTCGAAGACGTACCGGTGGTGTCTGGTGGGAAAACAGAGGGGATACGGCGGGCAGGTCAGGGTTTTGGGAAGGGCGGGGGCGCCCGGCCCAGAAGAGGAGTCGTGGTCGACCGTCAGGATGGCTGGGGCGCACGACGAGCCGTGCAGAGTGGGCGCACCCCCGCTCCTCCCCCTTTCAGCAGCCCGATGCACAGACAGTGTACATATCGTCCCCCCGCCTGCCGCCGCGCGCAGGCATGCGC